TATCAAAACCCCCACCACCCCCCCCCCAAAAAAAAAAAAGATTTAAGCAAATTTTTTTAAAATGAATTTGCCGGGAACCTTTATAAAAAATTTTTTATGTAAAAAAAAAAAAAAAAAAAAAAAAGGGGGGGAGAAAAAAAATTGGCGGTGCTAAAACTTGTATTAATGATATAAAAAATTAATATACAAAAATGCCGCCCATTTCATTCATTAAAACCAAATGCCTGTTTTTTTGTTTTTTACATATATACATATACATGTAGTTAAGATAGTTAAGATAGTATAGTTAAAATATAACCAAAGTTCATCCAACAAAATAAGTTATAATATATATAAAGTCCTTAATCCATATTATGTGCTGAAGTGCACGTATATAACTTTACAATTAATGCAATAAGCTAAATAAGTAAATAAACCTGAAAAATTCCATCACTCCCAAGACTAAAATACAAAGAAAGTTCAAAAGTACATTACATTATTAACAAGTTTGGTTTTTAAACCAATTTACTTTAATGTTTGTGTTTGTTTGGAATTTGTCAGAATTTGACTTTCTTCACAATTACATCAATTAATTGAGACAATCTTAATATTTTTTTAATTTGTGTCATACTTTGGACAATGATTATGTGTTTTTGAAGCATCCTTCACATACTCTTGACCATACACCACCCCAATCTTCACTACCATCTGGAAATAGTAACATCGAGAAGGCACTATGTGTGCCGCAAAAGATGTTCCCACATCTATTAAAAGTATCATCATAAAATTTGCGTTACAAAATTGCTTTACAATTTTTTTTTTTTTTTACAAAATTACTTTACAAATTGCTTTACAAAAAATTGCTTTATAAATATAGTTTAATAATAAAGGATTCATACCTCCGACAATGATGCCTTCGATTCCACCAATTAAACTTGGTCATACAACCTGCTTGTTGACATTCTGATACTTCATCATCTTCAACCCATCGTTTTGCCAGACCTATATATTTATTTTAAAATAAAAAAGAAAGTTATGTTAAAAAGTATTAAAGAAAATATAAAGATATATATATATATATATTAAATAGACATTACTGAATCGTTTATGATGTCGAACTCGTTCTTCATCTGTAAATAGCAATGCTGGATTTGCATATGATCGTATGCGAGTCTAATTAGATCATAAAAAAAATAAATATATATATGTGTATATATATATGTATATATATATAAATGTACGTCAATATTTAATCCTAATTCCTACGAGATGATCTGTGAGATCTATGAGTTTGTTTAATTATAATCACATGTACCTGAGGTGGTGATAAACAATATGATGGTACTAATTCGGAAGATTGATAATGTTCCATATTATTTATTGATTTTCGTCTTCCTCCATTTTGACTATCTGAACCAGTTGAACCAGCCGAACCGGTTGCATTAATAGTCGTTGATCCACTTATACTTTGTTTCTGTTTCGAATGACTCTTTGAATGACTCTTTGAATGACTCTTCGAATGACTTTTCGAATGGCTACGCTGATGATCGCGTGGTGTTATAGAACTTATACTAGATTGTTGTCTTTGATGTACCAAAAAACTTGATGATGTTAATGATTGTCGTGAGTGATGAGTTTGATTCGATTGATTTTGGTGACTTTGTTTTTGAGCGTCAGCGGCAGCGGCGGCAGCAGCAGCAGCAGCGGCGGCGGCGGCGGCTTGTTGTTGTTTTATTTTTTCATTTATTAATTTATCCATTTTTCCTTCTGCATCTCTTAATAAACTTTCCATTTGATCAATCATAACAGATTGACCACTTATTACGGCTTCAAACTGCCGTATTCTCTCACAATATTCCCGTTCTTGAGCTTCAAAACTTATTTCAATTTTTTCTTTAACGGATAAAAGATCACGAAAGTCACGTTTACTTTTCTCAAGTTGGGATTGAGATAGTTCTAATTCTTTTGCTAAATTTACACAATCATTAATTATATTTTCATATTCTGGAGCTAATTCATGATAATTATCATCAGAAATAGTGTCCGAATTACCAGAAGATAATTCTAAAGAAAGTTTTTGAACATTTGAATTTAATAATTCATTATAAAATGATAAATCATTTGTGCCAGATTCTAAAGTTCTTGTAACTTCATTTTTGGCTTCCTGATATTGTTGTTCGAGTTGTTTTTTCTCGTTCAACGTATCCACGCGATCTTTTTGTAAACCTGCCAGACTATTTTTAACTGCGTCGATTTCTTTGCGTAATAAGAAAACTTCTTGCACAAGACTTGAATCAACAGTAAAAGAATCATCATATTCATCAAAAATTGGTGAATTACATGACATTGTCTCCTCGCCCGCACTATCCTCCTCATCATCAAAACTTGTCGTTTTTTCTATACGTTCACTATAAAAAGCCGACAAAGACGAGGGTACCTGCTGACTACCTGCACTCATACGACTGCTGCCGCTTGTATTACTTCCAAAACTTGTCGTTCTTGATCCTCTCGAAGGAGAACTACCACTTCTATAAGCAGTATTTATTTCGTTCTTATATGGTGAGTGAGCTTGTGGAGGGCCATAGTCAGGTCTAATATACACCTGTCGAGATGGAGGAGGAGTTCTCGGCATTATTGGGGCGTAAGCTTGTGAAGAAGTATCATAAGCTAACCTAGGAGGACGTGGTATATTATTATACGAAGCATCTCTCCTGGGAGATCTTACGGCTTTAACACTTGCGTGCGCCAGTATGTCGTTTGAGCTGTTGGATCGTCTTCGTTGTCGCTATTAGGGAAATAAAATGATACACGTATTCCGTTAAGACAAAAAAGAATAAATAATGATATTGTTTTTTTTACAAATGTTTTTTTTTTTTTTTTAAAAAAAAAAAAACAAAATAAAGTTATGTTTTTTTTTTTTTTCGAGACGAATAATTGAAACGAAGCTTATAGCCGACTCGTTTTTTAAATTACTGATAAACGAGGGGGGGATAGACTATATATATAAATATAAATATAAATACAATAAATAAAGTATAATATAATAAATATAATCGATAATGGTCGGATTTTTCTCAGTTCTCAGTCCAGATCAGTTATGTATTCACGTTTTACAATACATGCAGCTCAAAAAAAAAAGTTAAGTGAATATCTACACCGCGAAAATATATTAAATATAAAATATGTGAGGAAAAAAAAGGACATGCATTATGCAGTGAGGACAGATTAAGAATTTAGAAAAGGTTTTTAAAATGTATAACTGTATGTGTGGTATGACCATATATTGTCACTATATTAAGTAGTATAGACCCAGCTCACGACCCAGATATAATCATTGCCGACCTTCCCAGATTTCAAAGACCGGATAAAGCTTGTTTCTTGCTCGGTAAACATATGAAAAAATACAAGTAACAATCAAAGAAAAAGGGTTACTTACCGGAGGTCTCTGTATTATGAATTTTTCACCGTCACTGTTAAATACTGACAACGAAGTACCAGTCGATGTGTTCATAACATAAAAGAAAAATCAAGCAGGTAAAAGACGGACGGGTGACGTTCTCAACGCAAGAAAGAAAAATGAGAAAGAAAAAAAAAAAATTCTAGCCTGTGTTTAATTTTTTTTTCAAATATTTGTTTGTGTAAAGGTATTACGTTTTTAATATGTCGTGTTTTATATATCAGATATACACACACATATATATAACTGTTTTATCCCTAGAATTTTTGGATAATAAAGCAATGAATGATGAATAATTTAGAATTGTCTGACAACAAGAAGCCTTTCTTTTATGTAGTGTCAAAAAAAAAAATTTCACGAAACAGAAAAAAACCTCGGTTTGGGTGTGCAAAAATACACTTTATATACTATTTATTTTTACAATACAATTTTACAATATAACTATAACCATTGAGAATGGTAGCACAGCTAATCAGCCTATATCATATTAATAAATGTCAGTTGATGTACACTATTATTATACCTATTATCGTTATACTGGTTTATTTTTTTTCGATATAGATTTTATCAATACATATCAATTTAGAATATAAAAAGATTAGCATGTACTATACATATCAGATACGTAAGTTCGTACGTACGCACCATACTTTATATTTTTATATGTTTTTCTTTAAAAAAGGGGCAAGTGTTAATATTTTATAAAAGGTAATGATTATTTTTTTAATTGTTTATATGTTATTGCAACAAAAATTTAATTCTTTTCATAGACCCATCCATAAAATACATGAATTCGTAACATGAATAACATCAATTAGGTTTTAACTATTAAGAATTGAGCTAATTCCTAAGAATTAAGATTGGTGGAAGTAAAACGTTTATCTTTTAGATGAATTCCAAAAAAAAAAAAAATGGGGGATTTTAAAATTTATATCCCTGATCACTAATATCTCACACAGCCATATTTGGAGTTATGACCGAATTTCGATATCACACTATGGCTTGTACACTTATAATTGCAATGATCATTATATATAAATTATAAATTAAATCTTTGTTTACTTTTTTTAGAATCCGTGAAATAATGTCTTTATTCGGTAAAACGTTCTAATTTGCCACACGTTTAACGTTCTCACGAAATTGTGAAATATAAAAGAACAAAGAGTTAAAATACACCACTTATTTCTACTGAAGAATCCTGATCGATAAAGCCACGGTTCCAAGTTAACCTAGAATTCACAGCCACCCATCATTATGTTCACGTTTAAAGCAATACCATTTTGGTATACAGGCTTGTGATTTTTTTTCTTCATCCTACGTATCAAATCTACCTTTATACGTACGTACGTACAAACTTTGATGCATATGATTCTTTATATATACCCAAATGATTGTCTTATGGTCGAGATTATATATTTATACGTATGATAATTTTATGACTTAATGCTTCATTATGGATTCATCATTTACGTTGATTATGTCATTACTATTTTTTTCGTAGAAATTAAAAAGTTGATAGTTCGACATGTGCCTTATATTAATTTAAAATCGATCTTTTACCATAATCACGAGTTATAAATGTGTAACTAATTTAAATGCACAACCCCAATATCACACCGTATGACTCGTCAAATGAAAATTTCAAATTTTACCAGATGTTTTCAACTTTTACTAAGCTCGGACAAAGGTATCCGATCATAACGTATTACCTTTGAATGAATAACCTTATTTATATATTTTTTTTTTAGTATACGTATAATTCTTGTGAAAGACTATTCGTATCTATATATTTTTTCATATCGATTATTTTGACTTGCTTATTTTAGTTATTAAAATTATTTTAACCCTATTACTGCGTATAAATACTATAAATAAATGCTATATATAAAAAACAAATTTTTTCTTTTGGTAATTTGTTTTTTTTTTTTTTGAATGTCTTTATGACAAAGATTTTATAATAATAAAACGTCATCATATTCATTGTCGATTCCGCTTATATCTATTTTTTTATATATATTTTTGTTATAAAAATTGGATTAAATGCTACGTATATTGTCTATATACTGTATTTATAAGTATATATATATACTGTACATTATATACTGTACTGTATGCTAATAACAATTAGATTGTAAGTTAACTATATAGTTTAAAATATTTTGTATAATTCAGTATTAATAAAAAAATTTAGTATTAGCCAATACTTGTATTATATTATTGTAGCAATAATACTACTGTAATAATAATAATAATAATAATAATATATATACAGTATATATTGTATATATTTAAAAAAAACAACTCTTTCAACGATTATTTGTATCAAAATTTTTTAAAAAAATCTAACTCAATAAGAAATAAAAGATATATATATATAACAATACAAAAAGTTACAAAACAAACTATAAAACAGCATCAACTACTGTATTTAGAGATAGTTCTTGTATGCTATCTGCTAGTGAACTTAAAGTTTATTATTTATTGCAGGGATAGCATCTATTATTTAAAAGTAGTTTTTATATACTACTTGTGATAAGTTAAAAGTTTATTACTTACTAAAAAAAAAGTTTAGCTTTGTAGTTATATTAAATATGCTAAATTATACTTTATTAAAAGCTACTTTTTATTATTTAAAAATTTTTTCTGTACAAGTAATCTCTTTATATTATTTCTTTTTAGCTTCTTTACTAATTTTTCTAAATTTTTAATAAAAAGTAAAGATTTAATTTATTTGTTTCAAAATATTAGTATTGTTTATTTTTTAAATTTGGATAGACTTAGTAGAATACAACTATATATATAATATATTTATTTACAAATATAATTATGATACTACTTTATATTATACATGCTAATAAAATTATTTTAGAATTCTAAAACCTGAAATTAAAATTTAAAAACAATTTGCTCTAATAAAGACAAAATAGATCTTTTTTAAAAATTAATTTTGGTGATATCTATAATTCATATAATGTTGCTCTAACCAATAATTAAAAAATATTCAAAGTTAAACATATAGTCAGAAGAAAATATATATTAAAGCAAAGCTTTATAGTAAAAATATACAATTATTTATAGTGTTCCTAATGAACCTAGGTTCAAAGTTCATGAACATGTTCAAAGTTTTAAATAAAGAAAAAAGCATATAAT